GCTCGAAAGGGCGAGGGTCGACCTCGTCATCCAATCTCATGACCAGGCCCCTCGACCCACGAGGGCACGCCTGAATCATGGTGCCACGGACTCTCTGGGGAGCGTAGAGACTAAGCACATACTGCAGCGTGACCTCCCTACGGGCCAATTCCGCGTACTTGATGAACATTGCCAACAATTTGTAGAGGGAAGGAGTGAGCTGACCCGGGCACACCCCGTAATAACGGCAGAAATCCACCACCAGCATTGGGAGCGTGATCTTGAACCCCAACCTGAAAGGATAGGCGTAAAAAACGCAGTATCCCCGGCGGTCGGTGTGGACCCTCTCCTCGCTTCTAGCGAGAACGATGTCTGCATGGGTGGGAATGACCCCCTGTTCCCCGTAATCGGGCCATCCCAATCTCCCCCATTAACGGGGCTTCATCCACCGGGTCCTCTCCACCGTCGACAGTGAAGTCAATCGCCAGACCTCCGGGCCGAGGAACTACCTCGTCAACCGACGGAACTTCTTCGGTCTCTATCTGTTCGGCACCTCCCATTGCCGGAGGTGGCCCTACAACTACCAGAAAATCTATCGGAAGAGCATCGTGGGAAGAACTGCCTGCCATTGTTGATCTACTAAAGAGAAAGGGATAGAATTCGGTGGGCAAGACAAAGGTTATCACAATCAAAGGAAAGAAAGGAGAAGATGAATCAGCAGAACGAAAAAGTTTCCTCAGAATCTCTCTCAGATGAACAATGAAGATATGAGAAATGAATGCCTCAAACCACCTTTATAGGCAACATACATGGCTTTCGCGAAACCCAATAGCCGTCATTAACTGCACGACAAACCGTAAAACGGTTCGGTCCTGCCGAAGCATGCGTCATTATGACAAGCTCCGCGAAGCGGCTTCTCAGCCATCCGCCAACGTCCCGCCGACAGAATAATCGTAACGGCCTGCGAACGCTGAAAGAATGCGCCGTACGCCTTCCAAATTCTGGACGTGACAAAATACGTACCCGGCGCATATTCATTCTCCACGACCGTCTCTAATATATGAAAGGCTATGGCCATCCCCTTTATATGAAAGGCTACGGCCATCTCTAATGTCTAAAAGGCTCTCCAATATATGAAAGGCTACGGCCATCTCCAACGTGTAAACGGCTAAGGCCACCGCCGTCAATAAGTCGACCCCCTTATTCGAGTTTTTTCAAATCACAATCGATGAAGTCCGCTCATCGAGCTCGGCCGAAACACGACCTCAATAAGCGGAGGGACTAACTGTATGGGTCAAAATCCGATCTCACGGTAATTAACGGAGCTAATCTCGTCTTGAGCTAATCCATAATTAATAAGTGGTTTGGCCACTTATTCATAACAGGATTCGACTCTTGTCTGATTTAATCTACGAGGGCACGGCCCATTCATTCCCCCATGGGGACGGAACCTCAGCGTGGCCACGGCCATTTATTGCCAGCTCACGAAGCTCACATCTATAAATACTAAGAGTGGAAGCCCTAGAAAGGGGGCTGCTTCTTCACCACTATTCACAAGAGAGAGAGAGAAGATAAAAATATACCCATCTTATGGGAAGAGAAAATACCATTGTAAGGCTCTGAACCTCTTCATGGAGAGCCAGACCAAACAAATATTATCAATAAAAGTTGTTAAGATTTCTTCTCCTAACTTTGAGTACTTATTTTCATGTTCTTCGCTTGGTCCAATGGATTATTACGATTTGCTATGATTTTCCCTTGATTTATTTATATTGTTTTATACTCATAAGATATGTGATAACTTTTGAGCAAACAGTTATGAATTCCAGCCTTTTTATATAAATCACCGAATTGTGACATATGAGTGGAAACACAAGGAAAGAGAAGAGGAGGAAAAAAAAGAAAAGGGTGTAACTAAATCTATTAATTGAAGGCACTAATAATGGATTGGGAGCCTTTTAAGGTGGAATGTATATATTTTGTAAACAAAACTTGTGTAAGTAGGGTAATTTACTAAACATGAACATTTAGAGTAATATAGTTTACTATATGGCATAGAAATGTAAAAATCCCTTTTTTTTTTTAAAGAAGTCACATTCAGGCTGAAAACTAACCATGGTCACTAAGCAGGTGTAATGAAACATATTAGTGACTTGATGTAGTGCTTAATTGCACTTGCACGTTCAATGTCGTTGGAAAATGAGGTATTTTGTTGGGAAAAAGGCAAAACACAAATAGGTGGTCTATATTTATTATCAGTTTGAATTTTGAACTACCAAAATGGTTGAACACTAATCTGGGATTGGCAAGATGTTGCTAACTTCATGAAAATTCTTTGTTTTAAGAAATCAAATACACCATCCATATCATGGAAATTCTTCACGAATATAATTGTGTTATTCCTATCTTTTTTTAATAAATTACTTAAAACACTAATGTAGTGCAAATCTTAAATAAAAAAATATTTATCTTACTAAGTAGATTTATAGTATTAAAAGCGGAACAATAAAAAATATAACTAAATAAAAATGAAAATGTTTTATATGTTAAATCTTTTTTTAAAAGGGTACAGTAGCTTAAGAGTTCAAAAGCAAGAAGGCTATTACCAGTATTAAATCACATGTCTTATTCAATAACTTGTTGTCATTTACTGTTTAAAAATTTTGAGTGATTAAATACTTCGTAGTCATTTCAATAAGTTTTGGCTCAATAATTTTTTTAAAGGCACAGTAGCTTAAGAGCCACAAAAGAGATATCAAATTTTTGGTTGATTAAATCAGCAAGTCCAACCAAAAGCTCAAAAGAAATAAAACTACAAAAATTAAAGAAAAAAAATATGCGGGGCGGGGAGGGTGAATACGGGTGTGAGTGTGGGGCAGGTCTAGACAGGTGCAAATGTATGCGGGGCGGGTTTAAATCTTCACAAGTTTATGCGGGTTTGCCCCGCATACCGCACCGCGCCGCACCGTTTGCCATCTCTATCTCTCACTCATGCTCAAGTAGGAAAATGAAATGAACCAAACAATATGCCTAACAATTGTAGAAATTTTGATTTAAAAAAAATACACTCAAGTTGAACCTGGCTGCTCATAGGACAAAAGAGTAGATTACTAATTGATATTTAAGATGAGTGAGATATACATTTGATCCAAATATACCTTCCAAAATCTCCCACTGCTTCATCACTAACCAAACTATTGGCATCACTAACCAAACTATTGGAATAACAGCCAAAACCTACTAAACCTAAAACTGGATAATACTATAATACCACCATTTTCTAAGTTGAGGCCAAACTTTTTTATACTCCAGTGGATCCAAAGCCACCAGATCCTCTCACAGTTGAATCAAGATCATCAACCTCCTCAACATCTGGAGTCACAATTTTCTGAATAATGAGTTGTGCAATCCTTTCACCAGCCTTGACTTCAAAATCAACATCAGAATGGTTGAACAAAACAACCCCAACTGGCCCTCTGTAGTCCGCATCTATAACTCCAGCTCCAACATCTATCGAATGCTTCCATGCCAAACCAGATCGAGGTGCTATCACCAAATAAAAATAGAATAACATTAGTCTTGAAATAACAGCTCTTTTGGGATGCTATGGAGGAAAATGCTACCTGCACAATATGCTTTACCTTGAAAATTCATTGGTTTGGTCCTTCTCTTATTAAATCATGTTCCAATATTTAGTTGTGTATAGCAAAAGGTAGGATATCATAATCATCCAAAATGTAATATCGGAAAAATAATGTTTTAGTGAATTTTTTTACTGTTGATATTGACGAATATTTATCTCTAAACATTTTCCATGTTTTGGGATATCAAATAATAAAAGTAGTTTCGCTAAGAAAAATGAAAAATATCTACCTTAGTCCCAAACACATCTACTAGTTTATACATTTTCTTCGAGAATCAGGAAAAAGTAATTCTAAAAAGGTATCAAAGAAATTACCAATACGAGCATAGGTTCCTTGAGGAACAGCGATGCTTAGATCTGTGGGTATCAAAGCCTTGCCTCTAGCGGGTACTTTAGCCTCTGCAGCACTGTAGGCGAAGAAAACAAACAATTTAGTAAAAAAATAAATCATCTGGCTAAACGGGCTCGTAAAATTAGCGGGTGAAAATCTGAAAGCGAACCTGGAAAGATCGTAACCAGCAGAAAGAGGTGAAGCTCTGGAGGGTAAAACAGCGTTTTCAGAGAGTTTCTTTACTCGGAAAAATGGGATTTCAGGGACAACGCCGTTCTGGGGTTGGTCCAATTTCTGGATTTTTGGAGAAGGCTCTTTGATCTCAGGGGAGTTTATATTATTTTCTGCCATTTTTGGAATTTGGTTTGTTGAAAATGCAAGGGTTTTGAAAAGTGAGTGGGAGGTTTATGTAGGGGAATTTCAGCCGAGAAAAATGGAATGGCGCCAAATATTCCCGCCTTTTTCTGTATAGGGAAATGGTAATTCTCATTTGCTCCACCTAGTATTTAATTCAAACCAGAATGAAACTGCAACTCTGTTAAATTCTCAAATCTCAACTAAAGGTCTTATTTTGTTCCCTTTTTTTCTTTTTGAAAAGTCTAAATCTATAAAAGCTGGTATGCTCAAGTCACTTATAACATGGTACAAATGTTTTTGTAAGTAGAAGTGTCTAATATTTATTTGGTCATATTGCTTTTTTGGTATCCTTGTATATTATAGAAAAACTAATCTATCAATTCCTAATATAAATCAATTTACCTTGGAGATTGGAGAATATCAAATCAAGCTGTTATGTTTTTGGTAATGTTCATGAGATGACGCCTCAATGATTTGAAGTTGCTTTAAACGAGCAACTTATTTCCTTTCCTTTTTCCCATGAAAAGGAAAATAAAAGAAGAGAAAAATAGAACTAGAACCAATAGCAGCTTCAAGTTACGCAAGCAAGTTAACGTAGTGAAGATTTTGGGGGTTTGGGTTACCAGGGACATTATCATGTTTACATGAGAAAGCATAATGTATACTGTACCATAATCTGTAAAGAAGATCTGAACAGCAATTCACATATACATTTTTCTCAGAAAACACAAGAAGTATAATATTTATATACAATACTAATTGGAACCAGTCGGATACTAACTCTAAAAGAATATGGTTGGTTTCTAAAATACCCAGGAAAGGCTCTGGAAAGACTTACAGCTTGATATCTTGATACAAAAGAATTTTCAGTCTAGTTTCCGTCCTACAATGGCTGCTAATATACACAAATAGGAATATCTGTACACTTTCGTACACACAAAGCCTATATCTACGTTTCGTTGCTGTACAGGTGCTTCATTTCTTAAGTTTGTAGCTTAATGGAACACTTGAGGAGAAGTATAAAATTCAGTCTCGATAAACCCCGGTCTCAGATCTTCTTCACGCATGAACTCCAATGGAAAAGAAACAAGATGTCCTTTGACTGACTTTAACCTCTCTTTCGTATTCTCTACCGTTACTAGCCCATTATCGTGAAATTCAAGTTTATCAGGAGCGACACCTAAATCAATAGTAGTGTGCCCAAGCTTATCTTTCCAGTGATTCCTACAATGTCGAAGTTCAGATCTGCATTCCAGGATGACATTAGATAACATAAGCAATTGAGCATGATCAACGAGTTATATCTATCGCCCACCCACACCCCAACCCCCACAAAAGAGAAAAAGATAGAGGTGGAAAGTCATAGTGTGGCTGTCAAGTACCTTGAATGAACAAGATCATTTGGGATGCAAGAGAACACGTCTTGGTAAATTGTGGCATTCGACTGTAACGTCAAAAATACAAAATTAAAGAGTTATTGAAGCTTTGAGATGAAAATCTAGGTGACCAGATTGTGCAAGTCTGGACAAGATTTCGCGCATGGCATACATAGGAATGATATTCGCTAATGGGCAGTTATAGAAAGACCAACTAAGTAACTAAAACCAGAAGAGAAGAGTGATAATGAAACTGCTGTTATACCAGAAAGCTTTCTTCCCATGTTAGTATGTCCATGCATCTCTACCAAAAAATGGCATAGGGCAGAATTTTTTCGTTTTTTTTTCTTTTCAAGAAGTAGTACAATCTTGTTTTGGTATTTCTTTAAGCACGTAATATACAGTAACATAAGAAACACCAGTCTCACCTCTGCAGTTGCCATCCATATATCTTTGTAAGAAGAGTCAGCAACGGGATCTTTGATTTGACAAATCTGGAAAAGAAAGGATGGCCTTTAGCTGCTATATCTCGAAACATATGCAAATGAAAAACTATTGCATGTCAGGGCTAACAATGGCAAGTGCCAAGGAGCTCAGACATTACTAATTTTTAAGGAAGATATGGTGACATCCAAGAGAGGAAGTTTCAACCGCATTCAAAGTCTGACTCTGCAACATCACTTACCTCTTCAGCATGTAAACCAAGGTGCTCTGCCCACAAAGAAATCCGAAGGCTAAAAGCAAATTTTCCAGCCTTCCAAGGCTTTCCGTCCATGGATGAATCAATGAAATCTTTATCTTCAATGACTACACAAATCTGGAACCACCGATTTTCTGTCAGAATTTTCTTTTTTTCTAAAAATACTTTTTTTAAATCAAATGTTTAAAAGTACCTAAGAACAAGATCTGGAAGATTTGTGTAGTCTTTATCTTCAATGACTACACAAATCTGGAACAACCGATTTTCTGTCAGAATTTTCTTTTTTTCTAAAAATACTTTTTTAAATCAAATGTTTAAAGTATCTAAGAACAAGATACTGCTTTTGCAGATAAGTAGCGGAAAGGATTCAAGTGCAGATGTCCAAGGTCGAAGTTAATATGTGTAGTCTCGTGAAATTGAAAAGACGGAAAGGTCATGCTTATCTATTGACTATGGACAACTTTCATTCACAAGCAGCATGTGTGGTATAAGCAGCATAAATGAATGAACCAACTATGTAAATCGACAGCCAGCAATTCAAGGTGGAAATGGGATGAATTTATAGTTTTCCATGATAGATGAACAAATTCACAAATGAAAGCAGAATTTATGCAGGTAAACGCCATATGTGCTTTCTTATTTTTGTGCAGTGTCTAGAGTTTTACTTCTACTTACAGGATAAGAGCATTGATTAGCCCTAAAAGCTGTATTCATTCCTATTGTTCTATTTAAAAAGTTTCCTTCAAAGAAGAAAAAAGTCTACAAACTCCAAGTGACAAGTTCTAGTACACTACATTAGACTGCTAGCAAAACAAAAGTCCACAAGGGTTATAACTGCTTGACTAACAATTATCCCCATATTTATTTGTCTTACCACCTTTGTGAACTTAGACAAGCTATTCCAGGGAGTAATGCTTGTTTCTCTTCTTCTTCGAAGAGGAAAAGACTATCTTATAGAGACTAAGATTTCATGTTCTTCAAATCCTAAAAGCCTAGAACAGTTGTCTTACAGAAAAAGATTTACCTCAGAGTCGCGAGATCCAAGCAAACTTCTGTCATTTATATTAGACGATCCAATCAAGGCTATACGGTCATCCACTATCATCACTTTACTATGTACATAGACCTGTGGTGAAATTTGAGAACTTTAGGTGCAATGGAACACCAAATCTCCGAAGTCCGAACAATCAAGATCAAGAGAACTTGCAATACTACATGATGCATGTTAGAAAGTTAAGAGAAAACATTGAGAAAAGATGATGAACATTTCCTACGAATAAGTAGAAGGAACTGATATTCAAGACTCGGAAAAAATTTCATTTTCAAACTTTGGCCTAGTATTTGCACTAATTTTCTTGGAGGCTAAAGTTGATCTTACAAATATTGCATTGACTGGCTCTTAGCAATTCAAAGATAATAATTGCTAATCTATGGACAATCTTACTATATAAGTGAATTGCAGTTAATTGATTTGTAAGTGTTAGCTCTGTAAGAATTACCTGACTGGTGAACATGGGTCCAACATCAGAAAGCTGACCATACGTCCTGAGACCATAAAAAGATATGTAATCACGGGTTTCTGGACCCAACAGAGCATTGAGATTGTGCAATATTGAATTGTTGCTCTTGGAAATTGTCCGGTATTGCCAGTGCATTAAGGCTCTCACAGTTGCTGCCCCAATGTCATCAAGACCTCCCTGTAATTTTGAAGCTAGATATGAAATGTGAAAGATCAAAACCAACTTATAGTCAGTACCTGATGTGAAGGGAAGATGCCTACCTGAAAACCAGGTAATAGTGGGATGACTATTATAACCCTGAAACATCTATTTTCTTTGTGTGCTCGCAGTATACGTCTGTATAAAGCATCAGCTACACGATTGCTTATAGTTTCATCTCCAGCAAGACCCGAGATAAAAAATTGATTCTGAAAGTTTGCAAAAAAAAAAAAAAAAAAGGAGTTTCATTGAACACCATTAAGTGAGCTTCTTTACTAGACTTTTGTACATAAAACCATAAAACATCAGAACTAAGAAAAACAAAAAGATTGTTATCAGTATTTAGGAAAACAAATCACAATTTCATATTGCTTCTCAAAGAAAATAAACGAGAGATGTAATCTTCCACATCTGTGGCTTGACGCAGCTACTTGGTAAACAAAAGAATCAGTTTTGAGTGACGATTGACATCAAGCATAATTATCATAGGTTCCAGCTCATAAACTACTAGCTAAAACTTTTGAGTAAGCTAGCAGCTGGAAAAAGAAAATGACAAAAGATCGTCATCACTAATCCATCAAGCTGAGAGAAAGAAATTGCTTGAAAAAGTACAGAAGCAAATTTGGAAGATCAGGTCAGCTCATGTTCTCATGGTTTGATATGTGTAGGCTTTTATAATATGATAGCAAGCACATGTGTGAAAACACGTATGTATCAATCAGTCAGAAGCAATCAGGTGTTGTACTATTTAGTTAGTGGCTATATGTGACAGGGTGTATATAAAGGCCATTAGCAAATATTATGTCCAGCAATCCTCCCATATTACTTGGAAAGTTAGAGGAGTCTCCTATAAAAGCACACACTTTCCGGCACTGAAGAAGATCAATGAACACAGAAGAGAACATCAATTGACTCTTACTTGTGAAGCTTCTTAAAATTGTAATGACTTGCAGATGCACATTCAGAAATGTGCTTCCAAACAAGGGTGTCATGCTATCTGACATCCCCTCTTGAAGGAGTAAGAACAGTTAACTACATACTTTTGTGTAACTCTATCAGTAAAAGGTTGATCCAGCTTGACTATAGTGTAGGGGTAAATGAAACGTACTTTAGGAAAACTTTCCTGGTTATATTAGGCTATTCGTTTAAAATTACTTTTTATTGCTTGTACCTTCTACTTGATTCTTTTGGGGCCACAGAATGTTTTGTCAATACTTAGCAATCAGGGAAAGCATAAAGGTGTTTGACTGAAATTTTGAAGGAAATACTAGATTGTTCCTTACTACGACCTCTTTTCCAAATTACTGGGAGTGCTCATTGTAATTATTTATGATTGTACCTTATTCTAGCTTCCAGATTTCTATCACTTTGTTGTTTTTTCATGGAAAACTCACTTTAAATGTACAAACTTGTTATAGTCCTTTCTCAAGTATTTTTCTCTAGCAACTGCTGAATGGAGTAATGGTGCAGTCTGAACAAGAAGAGTACACTTGTGACTTGATAGTAACAAATGGAAACCTACTGAAGTCACTGATGGCGGTCAAGATAATGTTGACGACAGATGGAAATTACCTTTCCATAGTCTAGAGATTGAATCAGAAGAAAGCATTATAAACTCGGCATAGCTGGAAATAATGTGTGCTGCCCTATAGTACCTCAAAGAGAAAAGCTCTGACAATCAGTATTATCTTTGTGATTAATTATCAGCTGTATTTAGTGGTTACCTCAATGAACACAAAATGTTTTGCTTCCTCAATAAGAGAACAATAAGCTTTGTGAATGCTCTCTTCAGTTTGAGTTGTTCCAGCAGACCATTGGCTGACACTTCTAATGACCTAGGACATGTTAGCCATATGAAATGTCAATAGCAGTGGAAAATTAACTGAGACATAAGCGAAACTGAAAAAACAAAAAGATAATCGTATTTTCGAATCATCTAAAGGAAATAGTTTGAAGGAATATTATGAACCGAAACATTATCAGCAGAAAGTATAAATATCCGAAGTACTTTTTAGCTAAATAGCTGTTACTAATCTCTACCTTCATTTGCTCACAATATCATTATCCTATAACAATAGCACCCGGGGGGGGGGGGGGGGGGTTGGTGTCTGACTGATACTTCCTCCACCTCATTTTGTATTTCAGAATTTCTTCAAAGGTTCTAATACTAGCTGATATTTTCTCCTAGTTTTGGTTATCCTTCAGCAATAAAGACTAGCTACTTAACATTGTCACATCCTCTCTGTACTATATTGTTAGAGCTAACCTGACAGTGACAACGGACCCAAGGACCAACATCTGCTAATTCATCAGTTGAAACCTCTTCTGCTACTCGCTCTTGTGTCTCCCACCAATTATCTTGTTGGTAAGTTTTCATTTGGCTTTGGAGATCTGGGCGATGAAGATCATCTGCAAAAAAAAATATCTTCAGATCTAATGTCACAGTGCTAACTTAAAATAAATCAAGCTGAAGCAAGAGACTAGACATCAGACCAGCCAACTTCTCATCCTCACTGGAGGCCCCCTCGTTACAATCAGCTTCCTGGGGTAAAAGTAGTGGGATGTCTTCCGGTGGTGACCCAGACGGAAACGGATCTTGTCCATTCAGATCTTCAGGGTTCAGCTCAGCTGTCTTAGTTTCGGCCTCAACGTCTCTGCTTCTCCCCATGTAGTGCGGAAGAACCATGTGATGCTGTGGCATAAGCAGTGGTATTGTCTGTTCATTTGGAGCTTTACTTCTCTGCATCAATTGTCAGAAATATTAGCAACTTGAAATTTCTTAAAGAAGTACGCTGAAGACCAGAAAAGAACCTTAGCATGATTCCAGCGCTGAACGAAGTGTCTGGCAATGTCTCGGCAAGGTGGTCCCCAAAGAGCACAGTGGACATCGTGCCATGGCATTCGGGGATATTTCTCTCGATCTAATTCATCTTTCATGGCATCTTCCCAAGAATTTGGCTCGGATTCTCTGCATAATAATGATTATTCATCAAATTTCAATATCACATTTGCTGCATATTGGTTTGAATGCCTTCTATAGGCAGTCAAACTTGAGAGAATGTTCTGCTCTAATTCTTTCCGTTCTCAATCTATGAAATAGATATTAACTTGAAGCATCTCACACTACAATAGATTTTCATTTGAATTAGGTGGACAAATATAAGCTCTAATAGAACACCCACTAAAAAAGAAGCTTTGATTGAATCAAACTAAATTATCTAAGGAGGTCTAGAATATTACTCTTACATTTTAGGACATCCCAAGATCGTTGCCACCACACCTACTAGTATTATTGATATGAGTTTAACTAGTTACAGGAATTGAAATTTATTTAATCAATCAATTCAAATTTTGATAAGATGCTTTCTCTATCGAACTAAAATTTAGTACTCCATTACTTTAACATTTTCTTTCATTATCTCTTATATAATATAATTCACATTAACATCCTAAATTGCACGCTCATAGGACGGAGAGAGTAAAGTACAATCATGTAACTCAATCGATTGCTTCAATATTTCATTCG